ATGAAATCTGCCTCCTGCCTGATTAATTAACTTTTTATTACTCCACCAGGGTCAGCTGGTCCTCTTTCTGCTTCATGCTTCACCATTAATAATCATCCCCAAATTTCTAGCGCCTGTTAATAATGATGTAGCTAATTTCATCCTTGGTAATTAAAGTAGTCCAGATTGGGTTTCAACAAATAGACTGGATAAAACATAATAGAGACTTTTTTTAAAGGTGTTTAAGGAGGAAAATCTATTTAAGAACAAAAATGTCATTTTACTCTATTTCAAATGCCTCCAAACTTTAGAACTAACAATTAATTTGTAACTAAAAAGGCATACATCATATTTCTACACCATTCAAATCAGTTACAGCTTCTTATCCAAAATATAGCAAGCAGCATTGCTTACCTGCGGCAAAGAAAAATACTTGATTCTTTTCTTTTTGACTGGCAGGCAACATGCTATTCTTCCATATTTTGAAATTATACATTCTTCTAATATTTAATTAAGTGTATATTTAAAATTATGCATAAGACATTTTATGAGATGCAAAGATACACAGGTTACAGTTCTTGACTTCAAGGAGCTAACAACTTAGTGAAGAATTAAGCCCTGACACAATAAAATATCATAGAAAGCCCGAGGAAAGAGTGATTATTTTTCACTGGACTGATCAAAAACACTTTAGGTGGGGTAGCATGTGAGCAGACTGACCATTTTGAATGTGATAGGTTTCTGAATATTCCAGGTGGAACTCACAGATGCAGCTTAGATATGATGAACAGTCAGAAAATTTCACGTATGAAGCATTTATGTATTTTCGCAGGGTGTATGTGAACTAGAGGGAGATAGGACAGAAATGATGTCAATTTGGATTAGATGAGAAGACTGAGAAGAAGACTTGAATATTGTTGAGAAATTCACATATTGCTCAGTAGAAAATATCTAAGGATTTGTAGTTTTCAAGTGTATAGGAAGTTGACCTCAGAAAAATTAGTCAAATGAGGGCATGAAAAATAGATTAAGGAAGAAATTAGAAACACAATCTTGCACCTTAATTTTCAGGATCATTTCCCATCCATAAATTGTTACAGCCAATCAAATTGCTTAAATATGAAAATATACTAAAAATAGCTAAATTTTATGGATGTTTTAAAAACAACTAAGCTATTAAATTTATTAATTTGTATCATTGTAACACTTTTTGTATAAACGTGTAAGACGGAAGGTTCTAATTTGAAACACCATGATTCAATAATTTATAATTTTGTTAGTTAATGCTGATCATAATGATTTTTATGTGGTTATTTAAGTGATATAAATCTAGTCTATCATTGCTACTTTTGGTAAATAATAGTGTAAAATATTGACAGATATGGCTTTTGTGCTATAAAAGTGCTTCAGGTAGCTTACAGTGGAAAACCTAAATTTACATTTTGTTAAAATTTAATGTATAATTAATCTTTTAGGGGAAAAGAACTGAATTGTTTATATGCTGACTGTGTATTAAGTCTCCTGGATCATCTGAATAACCTTTAAGGCAATGAAAGAGATAAATTACATGTAAAGTCCTACTTTTCTTTCAAAAATTGGCTCTAAGCTATGGATTCTCCTACCTTTTGACAGCTTCACAAGCTCTCTTATAGTATATAAGCAAAGTGTTTAATTTGACTGCAATATAGCAGGATATATCTTATTTTGGTTTCAAAAATGAACCTAAAAAAGTATGTTTTGTTTCTGTAAAATACATTTGAATCTCAGATAAGTATTGGTGGTGTTTTAAATAAAAACAAATGTTTTATTTCCTTATCATTAAATTATTTATTTTTAACAATGTAGGTATGATTTTCATAGATTTTCTTAATACTGAATCAAATATGGTTTTTCAAGCAGTTTGTAAGAATATGGATAACATTATTGGCTATGTAAAGCTCAACATTCAGAAAACTAAGATCATGGCATCTAGTCCCATCACTTGNAAACAAATATGAGGCAGATAAAATTTTCTGTTGTTTCATCCATATAAGCCAAAAAGGCCTGTACTTGAATAGTGTATATGTGTGTGCATGTGTGTGTTTGATACTTTGGAGCATAATATGGATTTTATATTAACTTTGAGAAAATTCTTATATTAGAGAGCTTGTAACTAACATCTATCTATCCTTCACCTATCTTTCAAAAAGATCCACATGGAATATTCATATGTTATTATTTCTTACTACTGATTCTGTATTTTATTCTAATTTTTTAAATCTATTCCAAAAAGATGGTGTGGGGGGGTTCAATTACAGTGCCTAATAAAAAGACCTGTACATAATAACCATTCAATAAATGCTATTAGTGAAAATATTATTTAAAATATTTAGCTATATGTAATTAGTCCTAAGAGAGACTGGCAGGCATATCGAATGTTAGGATCAAAACATAAAAGGCTTTCCTTTTGTAACTAAATATGACTGACCTCCTATCTACTTATCCATAGATCTATCAATCAAATCTCTCTCTCTCCCTGTACAACATATATACTGAGGTTGCTCTATAGACTTAGGAAAAGGGGATCCCAATAGCTATAGTTCAGGGAGGCTCTTTTTATACTGCCACCAGTCATAATTAGTACTCTTTCAACATGCTGGTCAGTTTTCACTCATATATTCTGACTCTAGAAAAAATCCAACCACTGGTCTAAAACAGCAAGAGGAATCACGGTGATCGCTTTTGCATTGTGTTTGTAGAGCACAAGTAATTAATTCAGAACATCATGATTTTGAAAGGAATTATTTCTTATTTTATATTGCTGTCTCATTAGTTTTTAGTAAACTATATGTTGAACAAAGTAAAATAGATATGGCTAGAGAGGATTATACTGTAAATTACTTTATTTTACTTACTTCAAAAAATGTGAACCTGTATCAAATGATAGAGTAACTAATTTCACCTCCCCACTTCACACCCCATCTCTAAGCATTATGAAGTCAGTTAATTAAACAGAATACACAAGAGAGAACTTAGAAAGTTGACATTACAATAGTTCAGACAGTACTAAGGAAAACAAAAGCTATAAAGATTTAAAGATGCCCTAGGAGAGCGTATAGAGAAAAGGACTGATCTGTCAGTTGGGATTCATATCATTATATTCCTAAATTTATAGTAAACCTACGCATACCCTACTATGACATTATTCACTGAAATTCTCTTCTGGATATAAACAGCATGCTTTGAAAATGCAATTTAAAGCTAACCAGATAAAAAATGATCCTTTAAATGATTTTCCTTCAGGCTGTAAATTGACTTGGGAGTCACTCTGTGCACCCAAAATCCAGGTTTACACAAACATATTTTTCCAGACTCGTCTCAAGCACTATGTCTCTTCAAGGGTAGAATAAAAGTCACTTTCGTGACATTTACAAGTCAGTAATTCATGACTTTTGCTGTCTGCAGTTGTCAGGCGCACCTAAGGTTTTAATCCTCCACCTCCACTTATTGATGATCAGATTTGGATAAAGCTACTTTAATAAAATGAGTTATAAACTTGTCAGAATTAAAAAAGGTAATTTGTGTAAGGTACTCACTTTTCAGGAGTGATAAACTGGGGGATCTGTGATCTAATTAGTGGTCTTACCATTAGCATCTCATAATCAAACAAAAGGACTTGGCAGGATGCTGGAGGAGTTAAGAGTACAGGCCTTGGAAGAAGACATCCTTCCGTGTCTGATTCTGAGCTTTCTTACCAGCCATGCGAATCTGGGCAAACTGCTCAATTCCTTTAGGCTTCTCATTTCTCATAAGTAAAGTTAGGAAAATAATACTGGTCTTACTGGATGTTGAAATGTTTAAATAAGATAACACATGTAAAATATTGCACATTATTTTTGCACCTATGAGAGGCTCAACAAATGGTAGCTATTAGTATTGTTATAGAATTTTTATAATTCTTATGTAAGAATTTTTATAATAAATTTGCTGAATTTGCTGAATTTGTGAATTCTTATACAAATATAAGCATTTTAACAATGATAGAAATATGTTTTTATTGTAATTAAATAGTTAGATATTTTTCCATTGAAGTACATAGCAAAAACCATGTATATCATCCTTACAAAGATAGCAATGTGATGGATTTCTAAAATTAAAAAAAAAAAAAGAATAGTGGATCTGGGTTTAGAATGAACATGACATTTAATGCCATGTTAAATGACTTTGGAACACTTTACTTTCCTTATCTCTCATTTTGGTTTTTAATATAGTGAGGCTATGAAATTGAGTTCTAATCAAGCCTATGCACCTATATTAAAAAAAAAAAAAAGAATAGTGGATCTGGGTTTAGAATGAACATGACATTTAATGCCATGTTAAATGACTTTGGAACACTTTACTTTCCTTATCTCTCATTTTGGTTTTTAATATAGTGAGGCTATGAAATTTGAGTTCTAATCAAGCCCATGCACCTATATTTAAACTGAAATGCATTTCAGTGGCGTTTGTCTCTTGACCACTGTTTTTATTGATCTAATATAAGGGAGCTGGTGATGGACAGGAAGGCCTAGCGTCTGCAGTCCATGGGGTCGCAAAGAGTCGGACACGACTGAGTGACTGAACTGAACTGAACAAGTCAAAGCTGCAGAATTTTGAACTAACTGCTAAAATCATTTGCTCATGGCTTTACTCTCTTCCAAGTATTCATTAGTATCATGTTATGATGCTAATGTTCACCGAGATTGGCAAACAGTTAGGCAAACACCATCCATTGAGACTCACTATGTTATGGTCTGAGTGATGAATTCTGCATAAAGAGACATTTTTGGGCTACATTACAATTGTGATAGAGCAAGGCATTTCATGGAAATATTTAACGATAGCCCCAACACATTAACTGAAATGACTATGAGTATTTACATGAATAGGATTCTGCTTAATGAGACCATTCAAAATTTGGGACATTAGATTTTCAGCTATCAGGACAGACTGAAACCACACTTAAATTAACATCTTACTTTACACTTTTGTATGAAACTTACTTTCATCTCCTGTTTCAAATTCAAACTTCTGACTGTAGCCACTGTATCCTGTTGCAGTCCTCACTCGGATATGAAAAATGTACTTGGTGGCTGGCTTGAGACCTGTGATGATGACACTGGGAGCCTTGGACCTCGTGGAGGAATAGGTGAGTTGCTCATGCTCCTGGGGACAAAGAAGAGAAGAGAAAGGGGATGAAGCAGTTATTCTACTTTCACCTGGAGACACTGCAAAATTAAGCTGAGGAATTATGCTCTATCAAAACTATTGATTAAAAAGTGGTACAAGCATGGTTTTCCATAATTTGGCATTTAGTTATTTATCAATTATGATGCATATGATATGGCCTTGATTTGGCAATTTATTGAGAATGATGATTGTCTTATATAAACTGCATTTGTAGTTTTGGCGATTTGGATTTCTGACCCGACTCTAAGGCATGGTGGTGACGTGAGAGCACGTGTACACAGAATGGCAACGGCATCTTAAACAAATGGGCACGTTAGGTCAGACCACACCAGCAGAGTGCAAGGAGCAAGGGTGGGAGAATTCAAGTACCCGCTACTCACTTCTACCCGCAGGTAGTGCCAAAATGCCGGCGCTATCCGTGGGTAGACCTGTGGGTAAAAGGAAAAATACATTAATTGCTTTTTAAAGTTTGAAATCTTTTATCCCAAATCAATTGCACTGTTCTGAAACTCAGTGAATCCCCAGTAGTAATACTGAAGTTAATGCAACTTAAGACATAATACGATGAAAATTTCCTTTTGAGGGAGAATTGACTCTTCTGAAAAAATAGCCCCGTTTATTTTGTAAAGATGCACAAGATACATCATGACTGTGAGGTAGATTTTACAGTTTGTCCACGAGGGAGCATCAAAGACAGAGAAGAGTATAAAAGACAGCACTCCTGAGAAATCAGGCAGGACTGGAGGCTTGATTCCTGGTCACCTGCAGTTAACTGACTCTCTCTCCTCACTAACAGGAACCACAACTAACTGAATGCCCTAGTCACTCAGAGTCTCTTAAGTGGTTTGTCTTGTCCACAACCTCAGAACAACTTACTTGTGCCTTTAAGAGACTGTCCACGATACGCTGGTGCTGGGAACACATTAAACTCAATTCTATTTTTGTATAGTGTTACTGTTCAATAACTTTATGGTGTTCTAATAGGATAGCTGAAAAAAAAAATATGAACAACTCTTCTAAATTCATAGGTCAAATTAGGCCACCAGGTCCTTGAATTAATTCTCTACTATTCTCATTGTAATATATCTAGAGATTCTCAGAGATAGAAATAACTTTCAAGATTTTGGCGATTTGGATTTCTGACCCGACTCTAAGGCATGGTGGTGACGTGAGAGCACGTGTACACAGAATGGCAACGGCATCTTAAACAAATGGGCACGTTAGGTCAGACCACACCAGCAGAGTGCAAGGAGCAAGGGTGGGAGAATTCAAGTACCCGCTACTCACTTCTACCCGCAGGTAGTGCCAAAATGCCGGCGCTATCCGTGGGTAGACCTGTGGGTAAAAGGAAAAATACATTAATTGCTTTTTAAAGTTTGAAATCTTTTATCCCAAATCAATTGCACTGTTCTGAAACTCAGTGAATCCCCAGTAGTAATACTGAAGTTAATGCAACTTAAGACATAATACGATGAAAATTTCCTTTTGAGGGAGAATTGACTCTTCTGAAAAAATAGCCCCGTTTATTTTGTAAAGATGCACAAGATACATCATGACTGTGAGGTAGATTTTACAGTTTGTCCACGAGGGAGCATCAAAGACAGAGAAGAGTATAAAAGACAGCACTCCTGAGAAATCAGGCAGGACTGGAGGCTTGATTCCTGGTCACCTGCAGTTAACTGACTCTCTCTCCTCACTAACAGGAACCACAACTAACTGAATGCCCTAGTCACTCAGAGTCTCTTAAGTGGTTTGTCTTGTCCACAACCTCAGAACAACTTACTTGTGCCTTTAAGAGACTGTCCACGATACGCTGGTGCTGGGAACACATTAAACTCAATTCTATTTTTGTATAGTGTTACTGTTCAATAACTTTATGGTGTTCTAACAGGGTAGCTGAAAAAAAAATATGAACAACTCTTCTAAATTCATAGGTCAAATTAGGCCACCAGGTCCTTGAATTAATTCTCTACTATTCTCATTGTAATATATCTAGAGATTCTCAGAGATAGAAATAACTTTCAAGATCATTAATTAAATCACTCATTTGATGCTTATATTCGATCTGTCATATTCCATCAAGATCCCATTTAGCCTTTGCCTGAAAAAATCTGTTGTCCAGAAGACCTTCCAGATTAACAAAGTTATAAAAATCTACATACAGAATGTATCAAACTGCATTTATTGTCCAGTGATGCTACAAGAACTATGTAACTATGTAACTATGAAAATAATTTCCCTTATGCTACTTTTGAAAAAATTCCTTATCTTAAAAGTCATTTTTAAACTTTATGGCCATATTTGTCAGAACTTTACATGCTACATGGTTATTCTCTGTCTAGCTGAGGAACTGCATTTGTCATCTAACTCCAAATAGAACTGTTTATTAAACACAAAGTACAAAGATAAATGACTTAACAATAGCAACACTTTAAGTAAAAGGACAGAACAGATAAACTGCAACTTATATTTATCCCTAGGTCACTTCTAGATTAGAAAGTAAATAAATATCTGCCTGCTATAAAATCCAAGAAAACAAAGTCTATAAAATCATCAATGGCAGTAATTATCTGCTAAGGCCTTAAAGAAGAAGCTTTCTAAGATCAAGATCTTAATAATTAGGGGGCTTAACACCCATACAGTGCAGAAAAAAGTTTTTCCGGTGGCACAGTGGTAAAGAATCCACCTGCAAATGCAGGAGATGCAAGAGATGTAGGTTCAATCCCTGGGTCAGGAAGATCTCCTGGAGCAGGAAATGGCAACCTACTCTAGTATTCTTGCCTGGGAAATCCAAGAACAGAGGAGCCTAGTGGGCTACAGTCCACCAGATGGCAAAGAGTTGGACATGACTGACCAACTGAGCATGCGCTACTGGAAAAGAGGATCCTGTTTCAGGTAGAAGTTTGGAAGAATTTTTGGATGACTGTTCATTCTTAAACAGAAGAGGAGAATATTTCATATTTCAAATAATTTTCTGCAACATAAGAGTTACTGTGTATTCTCAGTAGCATTTCACAATAAGTAATTATGATTGAGAGAATTTAAAACTCTGAAAAAGGAATTTAGTCTTATCCTTAGGGAGACAGGATACAGATACAGATTGAAAGGTTAACTTAGAATGGCCCCATAACAATACAAAAACATAGTGACATGAAGGTCGCTCGGTCGTGTCTGACTCTTTGAGACCCCATGGACTATACAGTCCATGGAATTCTCCAGGCCAGAATACTGGAGTGGGTAGCCATTCCCTTCTCCAGGGGATCTTCCCAACCCAGGGATCGAACCCAGGTCTCCCACCTTGCAGGCGAATTCTTTACAAGCTAAGCCACAAGGGAAGCCCAAGAACACTGGAGTGGGTAGCCTATCCCTTCTCCAGCGGATCTTCCTGACCCAGGAATCAAACCAGGGTCTCCTGCATTGCAGGTGGATTCTTTACCAACTGAGCTATGAGGGAAGCCCCAGGAAGCCCCAATAAAAACATAACTTAATAGTAATTTATTACTCAGTAAAGTTACCAGGAGCAAAGGACTCCTTTTGCAAATAGGTTTTAGCATATCTACAGTTACACAGATGTCTGTAACTACATCCCTGGAATAAAAATCACTAAGTAGGAAGTATGCTCACATGGATCCTCTGCCTGAATCATAGCATCACAGGGCTACTGCCCTGCCCCACATCTTGCCTCCTCTGAGCATGCCAGGGAAGGCAGCACAGAGAGCAGTCAGGAGAATTCCTCCTTCCAGGGCATCGCAGTCTTCTCTCCTCCTGGTGCTTCCAAGCTCTTAGAAAACGAAGTTAGCACTTGTCCATGACAAGCATAGGGCACTACGGTCCCAGAGTAATTTTGCTTAATTCCCTTTCTGTGACACAGCAACTCCAGTTCAAAGTAGCTGTGAGCAGGCAGAGACGGTGCTTTGCCACGGATCCAGGAGGGATCAGGTCTGAGCATGCCTGAAGAGGGACGTATGAGGGTTTTCCTAGAGTTTGTACAATATGGAATTGCTATTTGTATGCTACTTATGTCTTCAACTTTGCTAGGTAATATATTCCAGTGTTCATATTACTATCTTACAAGCTCTTCATCCTTGGTAAATCCATAGTAAAGTCTTCTCATTCTTAATGTTATTCAATTTTAGTACTTGTTTTCTTGATCAAGCTTTCCTGAAGCTTGAACCAATATTTGGCTTTTTTATCTATCATTCTTTGCTTTCTATTTCATTTAATATCTTAATATAAATTATTTTCTTTCTTCTTTCTATTAATTATGTTGTCTTCTAACTTCTTAGATTTCATGCTTAACTCACTAATTGTCAGTATATCTTTTCAAATACAGTGTAAGTCTACAAATTTCTAAGTATTGCACTACTGTACTTCACAAGTTTTCATGATATATTATTAACCAGTTCTAAGCATTTACTACTTTCCATAAATATACTATTTTTTAGTCTTTGTGAGTTATTATTTGCACACTTTTAAGGGTCAAAACAGGTTGTCGGGCAGTAAATAAATAACATTAAATGAAGTTTCAAAGGCATAACCCCATGGGTTGCAAAGTACACTGGACGGCGGTAAGATAATGCTGGCAGTCTTATGTACTAATGCTTATTGGCCGAACATGAAACAGTTTTTGCACTATTTCCCCTTGGATAAGCATGGCTAATAGTATCAATTGTGGGACAAAATACTTAGTAGCAATGCGCTTAATGTAATGATATGTATATCATTTCTTAAATAAATGTGTACACAATTTCTAGTTTATATATTGGTATCCACATATACTAAAAACAAAGTCCAGAACTAAACAGTGTGAATACAGGGCATTTACTGTCAAACAGAACACGCATCTATTATTCTCTAGAGATGGAGACATTTATTTAAGGTCTCTTCTCAAGGGCAGATCCTGCATCTTAGACTCAAGATCACCCCTTTCCAGCTTCTGAGAATCTAGTTTTCCTGGGAGTCTAATCTTATTGTCA